GCGTCAGTCCTGCGGTCCAGGTGCCCTTGTACTGGTGCTTTAACACTCTTTTTGCTAGCATCACCACTTAGTGATCTCCCATTTCAGGTTCTGCACTGGCCGGCTTTCGCTAATCCCATTTCAGCTTCTGCACTGGCTGGCTTTCCCCAATGCATGCCTAGTAACACATAGAAAGAGCAAATTCTCTTCCACTAGAAGTGCAAGATAGTGGAGAACCTTCTCTAACCTCACCTCTTGCCTATAACCAAAAGTATCCCTTTACAAGTTTACACCTTCTTCATACTACGCCACACTGATTTTACTGCTGTTTGCTAATTTTGAGACTGCTGGCTTTTCTCAGTCGTGAATGTTCAGGCCTAACGCAATTCCTTCAGTGCCGTTCACGAGTTATATGTTCTAGTCGAACTTGTATCTACCAATTCACCTATTCTAATTCTTTTTTTTTTTTTTTTTTTTGGACCATTTTTCGATTTATGTGTGTCATCCTTGCGCAGGGGCCGTGCTAATCTTCTTTGTATCATTCCAATTTTAACGGATGTCCGGAAGGACTCACCTATTCTATTCTAGTAACTTCTACTCGCTAAAATTAGATGCCCTTGCTCCTCATTCCGGTTCCGGACTTGCAAAGAGTGATCAGTTCCTTTCCTATGCCTGGAAGGGAACCACTCAGACCCTACACAAGCAGCCTTCGGGTAGCTATCTGTGCGGGTGGTTGATTCAGCGTCTGCCTGATTGGCGTGCGAGTTGAAAGAGGCATCACTTGCACATGATACTTCCTCTGTCTAAACTCCCAGCCTCAGCAGAGAGGGCAAGTGCCACAGGTTGTGGACAAACCGATCTTGGAGTTTAGACAGAGGAAGTATCATGTGCAAGATCGGGCGGCGAAAGCAGCCGACAGTTCTACTGGCCATTCCCTTTTGCTTGCTGGTGCCATCTTAGTGAGTAGGGAATGATATGGACCCTTCTTCGTGCATTTAAAGCACTGTCCCCTCTGCCTACACCATCTCCATCGGGACTCTGACAAGCCAATCTGCTTCCAGGGCCATCCCGGTTCTAATCCTTGATGCAGGTTATTCGAGAACCACGAGGTGGGAAATTACCTCCATCTCCTTGCTGTGGTGGGAATTGGCTTCCTCCAATCCTGTTGTGCGGGGGAACTCACTCCTGTTGTGTGGTGGAAAGTTACTGCCACCACCTCTCCTCTGTGGCCCTCCCTTACGGGCCGAGACAGCATACTCCCCGTCCCCGATGGGTATAGCTGCCGCCAAAATCGATTTCCATCTCATTCTTTAGGACCTGCTTTGCCTCGCCGTCCGCAAAAGCCTGGATGATATGGTCCCTGGCCCCTATGTTTCCGATAATCTTCTTTCCCCTCTGTCTTCCCCTTAGGAAGCTCTGTGCATGAGGGGAAGTTCAGTCCCTGGGTGGAATCTACATCGAGAGCTCTGCATGGGGGTCTGCAGCTATGGTGCTCCTTACTGATTCTCGCAGGGGCCTGGTCAACTGTGGTAGTTCATGGGTGTCTGGCATACCATGCTGTGGCACCTGCAGCAACTCATCCATCTTGCACAGAAGAGACCCCACACTGTGCCGCTTATCCTATAAGTGCTGATGAGCTGTTGTGATGCCTTCATCAGCCTATTCTTCCCTCTAAAACGTTCCGTGAAGGCGTCCAAAAGCCTCTGTCCATGCTCCGCACCGTCTCTTCTGCACTTAGCACCCGTGTCCAAGCATTGCCATTCAGACACGTCCGTATTACTACGACCTGAGCATGTGGGGCTGCACAGTCCACGTTCATGCATGTCTGGATCTCACTGATCCGGGTGATGAGGTCGTCATCCGATTACCTGTGGTAGGCCTTAGGCAACTTCAAGCTCACCCAGTCTCTGTAGGGGCTACCTTCATGTAGTCTGTGGCCATCATCCCCTTGATGCAGCCGTTTGCCTCCATCACCACCCTCTCCTTTGTATCTCCATCTCGATTCACACCACCCCCTCTTTTCACCTTCCTCCTTTTGACCGCCAGCGAATAGAACCGGATCGGCTGGCTGCCTGAGTAAGTGGCCTGCAACATAGATATCTGGGCCCAGTGACCACTGAGGTCCTGAATACTTAAGAATTTCTCCATCCCCACACAAGCATGTCAGCTTATGTCTGCAACGGAGTTATCAGGTGCTGGTTTGCCATCGCACAGGCGAATAGAACGGTTGCCAGTACAACATGGCCAACCGTATAGCACCAAACCTGCTCTCTGCTTGAGTAAGTGGCCTGCTGTGTGGAGATCCGGGTCCTCTGACCACTGAAGTCCTCAATACTTGATGACTCGTCGACCCCCCACGCACACATGTCAGCTTACATCTGCAATAGTGTTAACCACGTGCTCGCTCACTATCTCACAGGCCAATCAAACAGTTGTTTTAAGAGTGCCCCCCGCTCTGGCCCATGTGTAGCTGCTGCAGCTTCAGATTCTTTGTGAGTAGCTAACCTACCTATCTGATACTGGAACCAAGTTGGATGGCCAAAAGTGTCGATCAGGAATTATCTAGTGACAGAAAAAGGCATTGCAGCCAATCCAACAAGGTCTTCAGCATACATCAACTTCCTGAGTTCGACCCAACTTGCAACACAAGGACCGCAACACGCCGACCAGCAGCCCAAAGTTACCAAGAATAGCCCAGCAGCATTTGCATACCAAAAGCAGAAAGCGCGACACATGCAAGGCCAGGGTTAATGGAGACATTCAACTTCTCAATAACTCCTGGATGCTTCTTGCTTGATCCGCAGGCAGCTCCAGTTCGCAATCGCTACGTATGATCTCTTCCCTAACCTGACCTTCTCTTCTTCAGTCAACCCTGCAGAGTCTGCTGCGGTACCAATTTGCAATGAGCCCACAATTCAACATCTCACAGCACACAGATCGTGCATTTGATGTCCTGAATTGGAGAACCGGACACCAGATAAGAGAACTCCAAAAAGTTAATAGAAAATTGCAGTCTCATGCATCAAGTCTGCTTATACAAGCTGGACAGATGTGGCCACCGGCATCCACAGCCAAGAGTGAACTTGCATCCTCTCTCTCTCATGGTCCACTCTACCCTTAGGATTTTCTCTCCCTCGGAATGCCTTCCTCACACCTGCTCTCACACTTCTACAGCTATGGTGCTGAACGTCGTCGACTACTGCTACCCAACTGCTCAACCTCCAGCCTCACTTGAAATCTGGCCGCACAAGACCGCTGCAGCTTCCGCATCACACTCGAGTGGAAAGATGTTGCCGCTGCCTGCTGTTGGACTTTTATATCCAGCGCTTCAGTCCTCAAACTCGGACTTTCTGGACCGGTACCTTCACTTGCTTGCCACGGTTGGCCTTCGACACATCTGGAATGTTCACTGACTTTCTTGGGGCTTGGGCTACTGACTGGACTGGGCTGTACAGACTGATCCTACAGCCTGCAGGACCTACTGGGTCTTAGACTCAACCTACAGACCTACCTGACTGGGACCATATGCTGCACAGGTCTTGGACCCTTCAGACCGGGACTGGGACGGGATGCTGAACATGTCAAATCCTTTCAGCTGGCTGTAAGTAGTGGATATCATAGATATAATGAAAGTTATGAAAACTACGAGTTGGAAACTGCAGATCATGTGTCTTGGGTGGTGGTCTCTCGTGTATGACAATGAAAGTCAACAACATATTGCCATAGCCCAACAGAAATGAGCTTTTTTTTTGGAGTTGCCACTGGACTAGACCCGCCCCGCCCAATTTTTTCCTGGTACAGCCAGTCCTCGCCCCCCCCAAGAAAAAAATTGTCCCATGGTGACCTAACCTGCCCGAGTTTTTCCGAAATTCTGCTCCTGCACCTGACCCGCACACCACCTGAAAAAAAAATCCTTCACCCTGACCCACCCGCCCCCACGAGGAGAACATTACCCGCCCACGCCCGATACCTAATTATTTACGACCGTACCTACCCTCCGACATTCGACACGCTGCGACTCGCTAGAGTTGTTGCTCTGCCTCCTCCTCGCTGCTCCACCTTGTGCTGACTGTTGACAAATTCTGGTTGTGATGCGAAAATGAAAGGTGGCGATTTGAAATAGGGAGCAAATCTTGGCACGTGGTAAGGTTAGATTCATTCTCCGTTGTTTTAACAAGAGAGTTATTGTCCAAATGTACTGCCGGCCGTTGCACCCAGGCTTGGTTTTTGGGGGATGGGTCCACAGAGGCTGAGCAGGTGGATCAGGCATATTCCTTTTCTTTTAAAGAAATTGGGAGAGAAGCTGGGGCGGGGAGCTGGGGGGTTGTGAGTTGTCCTGGGTCTCATGGGTCGGATGGCCTGGACAAGCACTCACCGACTGTCACCCACACAGTCGGGTGACCCTGGTCAAACACTGACCCACCTATCACCCACCAAGTCTGGCTTACCTCGGCTCACCCACGTCCAACCCACGCAGGCTAATTTAAACCCAGACCTGACCCAATGGCTTGTGCGCAGGGTGGGTGCAGGTGGGTGTGGGTCTGGGTACCCGCTCCCTGTTTCTGGTTGAAGACCATCACATCTGCTGTATTTCTGCTCGTTTTTCATGTTTTCTTTTGTAGTTCGCATTATTTCTTGGTTTATGCATGTCATTCTTGTGCAGGGGCCATGCTAATGTTCTTTGTATTGTTCCAATTTTAACAGATGTCCCAAAGGACTGCTGTATCTACTTCCAAGTCCTTGTCCTTTTCTATAAGTGCGAGTGGGCTTTGGTGGGTTTTAGTATTTCTGTTACGTATGGGACTATCTATGATGTTTCACTGCTTTGTGATATTAGTATCATATTACTGTGGGCAAGAAATTTGGTGTGTGATCCACCAAAAGGGCCTTGGCTTCTCTGAACGGTTTTGCTTGAACGGAAACTACTGTTAGTGGCACATGCCATGAAAGACATTCTCCGAGGCCTAGTATGGCAAATGGGTGTGTGACAGGGCTGTGATTTTATCTGAACTGTGATGCAGGTGGTGGTTACATCATATCCCCATTGAAGCCCCGTGTTTGCCCAGGGGGCGAAACTTCCCCTCGATCGCGGGTTGAGCATTTGCTCCAAATAAATTTCAAGGGTTGGGGAGTTGGCTACTTTTCTGCATTCAGAAGGCACCATATCATGAAGATGCTCAGTCGTATAGCAGGTGCTGGAGTGAATCTGGTTTGCCAATCCATTTGCTTCTTCAGTGTTTCTGAGCCTATTGTGGGAACAGAAGGAATAGGACAAAACACAGATGCCTTTATGCTGGCCGGCCTCATGGCCACGCAAACCGTCCCCAGGCCGGCAGGGGAAAACCGGACCACTACAAACAGGGCAAGGATTCAAAAGAAAATAAAATCCTGGCATCATGCGATGATGTGCATGGTCTGAGGAGTCGTAATCCCATCCCTACCTTTCAATTCGGTGATGGGTCAACCACGGGGGTTCGGGGGACATAAAGGGGGTCTGAAGGGATATGTCATGTCTCATGTTTTCTATCTTATTTTTATCTTGAAACAAGTTGTACGCATTGTGAGAGAAAAATAAGTCGGGCGTGCAGCGTCTTTGCTCGTGGCAGAGGTGGTACATCCATACATGGTAGGAAGTCACCACAGGGAGCGGAAGCAAGAGATGAATGTGAAGCAGGATGCAGATATTATAGCTTCCAGGTCATCAGAAAGCCATTATGCACAGAAACTCACATGTGTCTGCGACAGTATGTGTGTGTCCTCTCTGTGGTCAAGGACAGACTCATTCTTGAGCCTTTTCTTATTCTCTCGTCTTCATTCCATACTCCATACTCTCCCTTTCCCTTTTCCGTTCCTTGTTTCTCTTCTCTTCATCTCTCTACCCTGTGTTTATGACCTCCCCCTTTACTCTGCCTCTTTCTCACAGAGTATAAGTGGGCCGTTATGACACAGGGGGATGTGGGCAGCTCGTGCTCAACTTGATCAACGTGGCGAGCCTTGTGCATGGAAGGCATGGTGATGGGGAAGTTAAAAGGAAGAACGATAAAAATGAATGGTTTCAGGGTGTCCCTCTAATCTTTACCGTTTGTTTCACAAGCGCTCTCCTGTAGTTCATAGTTATGTGACAATATATATGTGACGATATAAACTCCGACGAAACAGTTTGTCACAGCCGTCGTTTGTTGTCCTCTTCTCCCTCGCTGCCTATGGTTCACCTGGCAGCTCTGTTTGACAATATATAAACCTCTGACCACTGGAAGTTGTGGGTCAACGGCATCATGGTCCATGCCATGACTGATGTTACTGATTTCTTACCTAATGATGATGTTTTCTTGCCACACCAAACTGTCCGCCATCTCGTTTATGTTGAAGATCATTCCTCTGGCCCCGTGCTGCAGCAGGCCAATGTACCAACACTCTGCGACCTTCTCCTTTGCACAGTTACAGACACTGTTACACTCGGCAGTAGCCGCCATCGTGTCAGAGTGTAATCACTACAATGACATGGTTTCTGCATCTATGCGTGTAGAGGACTTTCCCTCCGTTCCCTGACTGCAGGCACCCTCCGCATTCGGACAATATATGTACATTTTGTGGCCATGGGCGCTATACTGAATGCATGGTCTTTTGTGGTGACCGTTCTTCCTTCATTTTGGCCTGCAATCGACATGCCATTTGTCGGGAGTGTATGGTGGGCATGCTCAATTCCAGCCGTCGTGGCAATTGTTGTGCTGAGAATGCTCAGCTAGGTCTTCCATGCGCCCATCCAGCTCATCCTTACAATGTGTGTCCTCTCTGTCATTAAGGACAGACTCATTCTTCAGCCTTTTCTTATCCTTACTTTCCCATTTCTTTTCTTTGTTTCTCTTCTCTTTATCTCTCTCTTCCCTATGTTTATCACCTCCACCATTACTCTGCCTCTTTCTCACAGCGTAGAAGTGGGCCGTTATGGCACACGGGGATGCCGGCAGCTCGCACTCAACTTCGTCAATGTGGTGAGCCTTGTACGTGGGAGGGACGGTGGAGGAGTTGAAAGAAGAATGAGAAAAATGAAGTTCGTTTTTTTGTTTGTGTTTGTGTTTGTGTGTGTGTGTGTGTGTGTGTGTGTGTGTGTGTGTGTGTGTGTGTGAGAGAGAGAGAGAGAGAGAGAGAGAGAGAGAGAGA